CCTGCGCAGCGTGGCAAGGCTGTATCCATCTACAGTATGGGCATTCTTTTCGGTCCTATCCTCGGTCCCATCTGCGGTGGCTTCATTGCACAGCGTGCTGGCTGGCGTTGGGACATGTGGGTTGTCCTCATCGTTGGCGGCCTCTTGACCGGAGCCCTGTTCGTCTTCAACCGCGAAACATACCACGCTGTGCTGCTCAACCGCAAGACGGAGCGTTTGAGGAAGGAGTTGAACCGTCCCGAGCTTCAGAACATCATGACGTACCAGAAAGACGCTGCTATTCTCAGTCCTCTCGCTATCCTCGGAAACGGTATCACACGCCCGCTCAAGATGCTCACCAGGTCACCCATTGTGTTGCTCTGCTCACTCTACATGTCCTTCCTCTTCGGCTTGCTATTCCTCCTCTTTACCACCATCACATCCGTCTTCGTCCAGACGTATGGCTGGTCTCCCGAAATCACCGGTCTCGCATACTTGGGTGTCGGAATTGGCAACTTCATGGGCATCGCTTTCGTGGCCAAGACGAGCGATGCGACCATCATCCGACTTGCGAAGAAGAACAAGGGCGTCTACGAGCCAGAGATGCGACTTCCGCTCTGTGTCTTCTTCGGAACTCTGATTCCTATTTCTTTCTTCATGTAAGTTGTCTTCCCTTCTCGCGCGCAGAACTTCCACTAACATAACTAGATATGGCTGGACAACTCACTATCATGTGCACTGGATCGTACCCATCATCTCCCTCGTCCCCTTTGGTTTCGGCCTCATGGGTATCTTCGCGCCCCTGCAGACATACATGATCGATTGCTTCCCTCAGTTCGCTGCGTCCGCCATCGCCGGTATGACAGCCCTGCGTTGTCTCTTCGGCGCACTGCTTCCGCTTGCTGGACCAACCATGTACGAATCGTTGGGTTTGGGCTGGGGAAACAGTTTGCTGGGTTTCTTGGCTGTGGCTTTCATTCCCGTGCCAGCGCTGTTGTTTAGGTACGGAAAAGTGATTAGGGAAAAGTACCCTATCAAGTTGTAGGTGCGAGAAGAGAAAGGAAAGGAGTCGTCTTTTGCGTTTAGATTCCATGATACCCGATTGTTTTACTATATCTGTATAATAGTATTAGAATACGCATCCAAAGTCATAAAGAATAGAGATATTGTAAGGATCCGTATGCGCTTTCCGAGTTCTTGCTGTACCAAGACGCTAACACATGCTGGTCACCTGACATCTAGCGAGGCTGACATCCTGCCCCTCATAGCTCAACAGAATCCTACTCATCAGTCTGTATTCACGCCCAAACACCGAGTCCTAACGCTCAGCCTTTGCGTCTGGTTCATGACGCTTGTGTTTTCAAACTCATGCACTTGCACACCCCAAGCTGCGCAAGTGCCAACACCAATGCTAGGCTGATGTGGCTTGCACTGCCCCTCCTTGACATGCAGTCCAGTGAGACGGCAGGCTGAGCTTCAAGACGCCGACAGCCTTATATCTCAGTATTGCACCGCTCAGCCTGATCATGTCGGAGCGCTTGTGATCTTGAGGATTCTTCGCCGCCTGTTAACCGTCACATCTTCCCACTTTCCTTCGAGCAGACTTGTCAACAATTAAGCCAAGCAAGCTAGGTACCCCAGCTTAGCTTAATTGTTAAGTGCCTCTACTTCAGCTTAGCTTAATTAGCTTAGTAGGTTAAAACAAGCTAGCTTAATTGTTTAGCTTAATTAGCTTAATAGTTAAAGCGTTTTTAAGGCTATAAAAATAGGTAGTATTAGCTATATTATAACTTTTTTTAGAGTTAAGTTTCTAAATCGCTATTAGTATTACTACTGTCTCTAACGTCCTACGCGCTTACGCTGTACAACGCCTCTATCTTATTATTAGTTATAGAGTTTCTATTATTAAGTTTATTATTACCTAGACTAGCTGTACGCTACTGTTGTACGCACTGTATTACTACTAGAAGTTGTAGTTATATACCTTGTCGGCGAGGCTCTAGGAGATTACCTAACTTACTAAATATACGCTTACACTCGCAGCTTAACGCTAGGATAGACAGTATATTAAGCGCAAGCTTACTAAGTTAAGAATAGCAATTCTGCATTAATAACTAGTATTTTATTAGGTTGTTAGCGTACTTGCTGCTCTTCTCTACCCGCCGCTTACACAGCTTCTACTAGGTATACTTGTTATTAGCTACCTTGTCGCTGTTGCTAGTAGTTGTAGAATTAATAATGCTATTAATTGCGTTGTCTATATTGTTTAATAGTACTTTTAGGCGTTATATAGCTAGTTAACTAGTATTGTATTAAGCCTATAAGCTGCGGAAACTAAGGTTATTAAACTTAAGCTAGCTAGATTTCTTAGTACCCTAGGATTTGTCGCAATACAATTAGTAATACAGGTAGAGTATTGTAGCTGCGTAGTAGGCAGGCGATAGGTCTAATTTAGAGTAATACTTGCTAGCTTTTGCCTACGCTGCGCGTATGTTAATTGCAAGGTAGTCCTTAGGCGCCTTGTTGTAGGTGTTATACTTAATAGCCTTGTAAGCTAGTACGCGCGATTTGTAGTAGTTAAGTATATACTTAAATACTAGAATAACTTTAGTAATATAGCTAAACCTTCTACTGTTGCTGCGCCTCTTAAGGCGCTTTATAGCAGCTTTTAGCAGCTTTAAAGCGTCTATATACTCTATAACTACTACCTAATTATGCGTTGTAAGGCTGTCTAATCTTATCTAGTATAGCGCGTAAGGCAGTTTATTACGCTGCAACTTAGCGTAGGTATCCTCGTCCTGTATACGCTTTATATAGTAGCTAGTGTACGCGTTAATTGCTAGTTAAAGCTGTACAGCGCGCTTAAAGCACAAGTAGAAGGAGTTCTAGCGTATAATAACAGGCTTAACAGGCTTAAGAATCTTGCGTTTATTAGAAGGTGCATTAGCTAGTAGCTTGCAATAGGTAAGGCGCTAAAAGTTAGCAAAAAGAGCGTATTACTGTAATATTTTAATATAGTAAACAATCAGACGGCATGCCTGCATTAGGAAATACATGTACCCCATTTGGGTAATCCGGGCCTCGCGTCCAGCTTTCGCGCTACGCCCAAACAGGAGACTTGTCTTCGACCACTGTCTTAAAAGGCCTACCTTCACCGTTATTTTCCATCCTCTCGTTTCCCGTTACTCTCTACTCTCATCCCTTTCATCTGTGGCCCCTGGCTTGCGCCCAGCCATCACTCCGTTTCCACTTTCCTCAACTATTCTCCATATGGCAATTCTCTCAAACTCAGCTGCCTGCCTTCAAGAGTTAGCTCACGTTGCTACGGTGCTCATATTCCTCTCCACAAGTCGTCCCTGTCAGATCCATACGATCCTAGTACAAGCTGATCACTCTGAATCTCACACATACTGATGTCTCCCAGACCACATATTTCTAAACTTCTATACGCAGCATAGCACAGTGCCATAGGAACAAATTCACAAGCACGGTACCTCTCCTACTGCTTGCACCTAGGCGTTAGTACCAACTTGCACACTAGCCCCACCTGAACTACATCCGCGATCGAAAGAGGAATGCTCGTCTGTCGCCCAGTCCAGCGCCTCACATTTTCGACTGATCGGCCCATTTGCCCCTTGCTTCTCGTCGGAATCACCGGACCATTGTTGTCTCTGCAACGCACTGTTCACTGTACGATGTCTCATGCCGTGGTCTCAGCTTCAGTCACTTCGCACCTTGCTCCTTCTGGTGAAAACGTCCTCCAATTTGCCTGATCAGGACACGACATGCCCAAACAGGCTTTTCTCTCGGACGCGATACCTCACTCACATCAGGCACTAGTTCCGCACTCGGGGCTTTGCGATCCCCCACCATTAATAGCGGGTCTGCATTGCCTGCAGTATCGCAGGGTTGCAGTGCAACGTAACAGACGGAGATCAGGAGACAACCAGCTCGCGGCTCGGCATTGCCACTGGCGTAGGAATGCAGAGATGGACTGCACCACGCCAACATTCTGCTTCGGCCGGATACAGTTTCCAGTCCACGGTGCTCATGTCTCACCTCTGGCCACGTAGTATCACCTCCTCCGACCTTCGGTCCTTCTGCAACGTATGCTGGCCAATGTGAGCTCACCTAACCGTGCTCTACTGGAGCTAGACGCGTTGAAGATGACGCGGTCGAGCACTATTTTTCTTGGTTGTGGCCCTGCAAAGTGGCCAGCGGAGGCTGTTTGCATATACGCTTGCCTTTAGCTTGCAAACAGTAGCTCAGCATCAGCATTGGACTCCAAGAGCTGTGCCGAATGGGCAGAGCCTTCTCCACCACATTTGGTATCAAGGGTGGAGCTTTTCCGGTGAATGTCTTTCATCCTCGTGTCTTGGTTCTGGTATCCTGACGTTGTTCCTCACGCTTCTTCGGTCAAATAGACATCACGGCTACCCCCTTTGGTGTAGTTGGCTCTTCCAGAACTGGGCCCGTTCAGAGAGCCATTCATGCCATTAGAAGCCTCTGCAGCAACAGTCGAGTCAAGAGTCAGATATGGTTAGACAACAATGAAGGCTTCGGAGACACCGAGGATGACATAATACAATCGATTTAGCGCCATGATGTAGATATCCTCTCCCCTGGAGACGTCGCCAGTGAGATAAGTGGTTTCCTATTTAAAGTCTTGGATACGACGCTCTCTGCTCAGTTCGAGTCCATCAGATTCAGTAAAATCTTATAATGGCTACATTTACTTCAGTTGCTCAGCCCACTTCATATCGGTTCAAACATTTCGAACCTACGTCGCTCGAACGTACTCAGTCAAAGATCAGGGCTAAGGCAACAAAGCATACTCTTCACAGAGATTGTGAAGAGGTAGGAAGTCGATCTTCGGGATCAATTCATCAAGGTAACGCTCACTCCCCAATCATATAAGCGAGCCATTCCAGACTGAGTCGTATCCAGGAAGGGAAAGCGACTTTTCCACTGTTCCTCAACAGATATCACGGGTTCAGACGACGGACTGTCTCGAACACAATGAAGACATAAACTCAGAGATGTACGATCTGTTTGGAGCAGACCACGAAACAAGCACTCTTGAATTCGCAACTAGCGATAGTGATCACCAGTTTCCCCATGAACTGTGTGATGAGGGAGAGAAAAGCCGCGAAACATTGTGTTTGACCTTGAACGATTCATTCAATGGAAGCACTTCAGGTAAGTACTTCAGTAGACTGCGGTGGTGACTCCACTGATTTCGGATAGACTGTTATTCAGTTGGGGAGAATGACGCGATTAGAGATCACCACAGGGCTACAGCATTACAGCGTAGCACCGGGACCTCGGATTATCAGGATAAGAGCTGCTATCTGACTACTGCCAATGGAGGGGATCTTGCTGAACAGCGCGATGATCTTAACGCAGCCGTAAGGTACGCTTTCTCCGCAAAGGATGTTGAAAGTACTTATCATGGTGAGTAAAATGGCCCTATCGATACATGGAACTGTGCTGAAATCGTCAAAGTTGGACCACCAGTGGAGAGCGAGACGTTTTTCAGCGTCGCTAGTGTGGTAAAAGGTCCTCCGACGCCGCGAAAACGTTCGCATCGATCTTCGATCGCTGACGCGGCAACGACTATTCTGGAAGCAGTGCCGGATACTGTATCGCATCCAGAGTCTGAGAATCTCCATTCAGCGAAGCGGCGAAGGATGGCTGAGCGACAGGCACAGAGCTCCATAACCGAATCAACGTATACGCCTAAGCCACCGCCTCTGCTGGATCCTAGTCACCAAGCTTCTTGTCTCAGTACCAGTGATGGTCCTATTGTTAGCTCTCCAGGTGCCGATGACAGAGAACATGGTACCATAAGCCTAGCCCTGTCTTCAACCAACCACCACGTTGTAGAAGATGGCGACGGCGTTTATGTTCAGGGAGCAGTCGAGGAGCAGTCACAGATAAGAAGTTCCATCACTCCTTTCCAAGAAATTCTATTTGAACAAGACGTTCGTGGAGAATCCAACAGGCGTGTGATAAGTAGACAAGGCAGCGGAAGCGAAGTCGGGGAAACCTTCGAAGATGAACACAGCTATGACGAGTCAAGCATTATCCGTCCATCGAGATCACAACGGCGTAGGCATACTAGTTGGACACCCGCGATGGCACGCAAGCCATCAAACACTCCTCTTAGACCATTGAACCACAACACAATACCTGCGAGGGCATCGCAGCGAGTAAAGTTGAGCCAACCACAAAGAAAGCCGGTACCGGGAGGACGCAATACCGACCAACGGCCTCGAAATTGCTCCCTAGGATCAGATACACCAGGCACAACGGCTGATCATGGAACCAATACCGACTATGGATGCGACCTTAGCATATCTTGTCAGATAACAGACCTAACGCTCTGCACTATTCCAAATGACTCTTCAGTCGTGACGGCGATGTTACGTCCTCATAAATCGGATAGTTACCTCGACGTGGTAGCCCTAAGTCGCAAGGTCCTTGGCGAACAAGGAAAAGTCATCCGCATGACCCAAATGTCGCCAGATTCATGGGTGCTGCTAGGATATCGGTGTAATAGTAGCGCTCTAGACCTTTGCAATCGGCGAAGCCCGAATGCAGAGTGGATTAACGGTTCTCATAATGATGCTGCCACTTATGAAATGGACCACTCAGACAACGACGACAACGACCACGATTGCGACGATGAGAACGAACAGGAGGAGGAGTTTACAGAAAGATACAGCCAACGAATACGCAAGTTGTGGCTAGAGTCGGAGGAAGTACTTCTACTCTCGTTGAAGGATAAACAGGGTATGGATTGGGAAGAGGTGTGTAAACGCTTCCCTGGTCGGTCGCTTGGTGCAATAAAACTGCGCTACCACACGTTGCGGAAGAGAGGCTACTGTAGTGAGGCTAGTACGGTTTTTCGAACCTAGACAGCACCAAGTATATCTATGATTGCATTTGCTTTCTTGCGCCGGACCTCAGGGTGATCGATCGTAAAGTAGTCCCAGTCATCACTAGTCCACACGATTAACGCATTCGACCATTTCCTGCCCTTCAAACCCTTCTACACACCAGAAACATCCTAGGGTTAGCTTTTCTTGAAGCAATCTAGAAAAAACACCATGCTGACACTCTTGAATAGTATCGAGCGTTTGGGACACGATAACGGCAAGGGGACTTGCGTATGAGCGCTCAGTCTTTCCCTTGATAAGGGGACAACGAGGTGCGATAGTTCAGATATTTAATTAGGTTACAAGGGCTCGAAGGTCTAATTACCCAATGTCTTCTCCTGCAGTAAGTCAACGTGTAACGTGTTTTATATCTTGACATAAGAATGTCCGCTGAGGTTGCGATCCCCACTCCGTTTTAGCGAACCTATTGGCTTCGTCTCGGGTAAGGTGCGTCCCGAGGTGACGAGACACACTGTGTGACGAGACACTTTTTCGTCCGGGCCTTCGGAATCGCGCCACAGGACCTATAAAAGCTCAAACTCAACGCGCTTGTGTTCTATAGCTGTCGCTCTTCAAGTATACCTGCCTCCGATCAAGGAGAACGTAGTGCTAGACGTCCTGCCGGCTGTTTTGCTAATAGCGTTTATTAACCCTCTGCTGCTACCCCCCTGTTCTTTTTCTACAGTGCATCTCTATTAAGTATTCGGAGGAGCAGAGAGGAAGCCTAGATGCTAGAGGCTGAGATCGCGGGCTCTAAAGGTCAACTTGTCGTAGAGGACCTGCATTCCGGCAGTTTCTCCGAGCGGGAAGCACTTTTGCCAAGACACTCTCTGCGGGTGAGAAGCTCTAGGCTCTCTTGGCATGCAGGTCTAGCCGCAGTAGCGTGCTCAGATATGTCTGTGGCTGTGGCTACCGTGCAAAACAGCTAGTCCCAATGAGTAGGTTGCCCGTAAACACCTAAGCCTACTGGCTGCCCTGCTATGCCGCGATAATTTAGGCACCAGCCGATTGAACTACCCCGCTTGCGCAAACGGTAGGTATAATAAGTAAGTCTCTTAACACTGTCTCCGCTAACTTGTTATAGCCAGAATTGTTGCGATGTCTGAGAGAACGTGGGACAACAGTTTCTTTAAGGTATGGCAAGAACGCGAGTACACCTTGAACTATAGCTAACGATAGATATGTAGAGGGTAACTAGACTAGTGAACATTCTGCACATTAAGAGTAGCTAACATAAGTATAGGAGGTGAGCAAGCTTACGGAAGTTAAGACACAGAGCAA